ACAGACAGCACGTTGTACAACCGGGTCTCCATGGGGCTGAAACACCATGTGCCCAATAAATAGTTGGGAGATGAGGTGCCAAGAAAGCCCAGAGCAAGAGCTGGCTCTGAGGTTCATGGAGGCAGCACAGAAGACATGACATTTGTGCCAGACATTAAGGCACAGCGACTTTACCAACGGGGAGTAGAGATTTAGCAACAGGGAATGGCGACCCTGTGGCCCGAATTGGTCCAGCCATACACGATGAGTACCCAGGCACTAACCACACATTGAGCGCCGAGGAGGGTAAGACCTGAGATGGGCGAGGAGTCACCAAAGGGGAGGTTAGACTCCCAGGGGAAGGGTCTGAACCCAGTACTTCCTCCTTGGAACCCCTGCTGATGGTTTGTTCACACAGGAGTTAAGGCTGTGTTATAATTGTTTGTGTGCCTGTGTCCCCCAGGAACCTCAGGGGATGCGTATTTTTATCTTTGCGAAACAAATCCCCAGGGTCATTTGAATGAAACTGAATCCCTTTGTGGCAAGTGGGGACTGTAGACAACCCTAATATTCCACTCAATGCAGGCACATTGAACTCAGCCCTGTACCAGACTCTGAGTCACTGAGATGACCCAACCTGGCCCCATCTGGAGGAGTCATTGCAGTTCCAGTAAGAATGACATAGGGGCAAAAACCAAGATAATTGCACAAGTGCAGTCACTCACACGTAACTTACTACAGTAACCACCTACTATGTGGAAGGTGACATCCCTCCCCCCTTATTAAGAATGCTCTCAGACAATCACCAGCAAAACAGTCATTCACCTCTGAAGTAAGGAAATACTCCTCCCTGCCCACTAATTCTTAGATCAGGGTCCAAATTCTGACTCTAGCAGCTACTGACTGTGAGATCTTGTATAATTCCACTTCTCTGAACTTGAGTTTCCTTTTATAAATTGAGGTAAAATTCACATAACATAAAATTAACCATTTGAACACTTCAGTACAGTCACAGTGTTACACAACCACCACTTCATTCTAGTTGCAAAACATTTTTATCATCCCCAAGATAAAACCATTAAGCCATTGCCCCCCATCATCCACCCCTCTCTGCTTCCTTCAGCCCCTGGCAACCAACAATCTGCTTCCTGTCTCTATAGGTTTTACCTATTTTAGATATATCTTGTAAATGGAATCATCCAATGTGTAACATTTTGGGTCTGGCTTTTCTCACTTAACATCCTGTTTTCAATGTTTCTACAGGTTGTCAGAGGTATCGGTACTTCATTCCACATTTTGTTTGTCCATTCATTGATGAGCACTGGAGTTCCCCCCCCCCCTTTCAACTATTGCGAATAATGCTACAGTGAACACAGGTGTACAAGTACCTGTTGAGCCCATGGTTTCAGTTCTTTTGGTCATACAACTAGGCATGAAATTGCTGGGAATGAGAAACATCAGAGTTCTATGTTTCACTTTCTGAGGAGCCACCAAGCAGTTTATCACAGTGGCTGCACCATTTCACATCCCCATCAGCAACATGCAAAGGTTCCGATTTCTCCACATCTTCACTGACACTTGTGATTTTCCGTGTGTGTTTTTTTACATTATTTTATAATAGCCATCCTAATGGGTACGAAGTAGTATTTCATTGTGGTTTTGATTTGCATTTTCCTGATGATTAGTGAGATGTTGAGCATCTTTTTATGTGCTTATTGCCGTTTGCATATCTTCTTTGGCAAAATGTCTATTCAAGTCCTTTGCCAATTTTTGAATCAGGTTGCTTGGTTTTTCTGTTGTTGAATTGTAGGAGTTCTTTATATATCCAGGATATTAATCCCTGATCAGATATATGATTTAAAAATATTTCTTCCCTTCTTTGGGTTGCCATTTCACTTTATCAATAGTGTCAACTCATGCACAACAGTGCTAAATTTTCAAGAAGTCCAACTTTTCTATTTTTTTATTTTGTTGCCTGGGCCTTTGATGTCGTATTCAAGAAACCATCGCCAAATCCAACATTGAAAATTTGCCTTGTTTTCTTTGAGTCTTATAGTTTTGGTTTTGATATTTATGCCTTTGATATATTTCGAGCCACTGGTAATTTTGTATATGGTGTGAGGTACGGATCCAGTCTTTCTCTCTTTCTTTCTTTTCATGTTCCTATGTCCAGTTTTCCTATGATCATCTGTCCTTACCTCATTGAACGATCTTGGCATCCTTGTCAAAAATCAGGTGACCATAAATGTGAGGGTTTATTTTTAGGATCTTTATTCTGTTCCATTGATTTCTATGTCTGTATTTATGCCGGTACAATACTGTTTTGATTACTATAGTAGTGTAGTATGTTTTGAAATCAGGAAGTGTGAGTCCCCTAGCTTTACTTTCTTTTTTAAGATTGTTTTGACTATTTTGGGTCCCTTCAGACTTCACACAAGTTTTAGAGTAGGTTTTTCTGTTTCTGCCAGAAAAAAATGTTGTGGGATTTGATACAGATTGCATCAAACCTGTATATTGCTTTGGGCAGTATTGACATCTTAACAATCATCAGCATATGTCTTTTAATTTATTTGTATTTTCTTAATTTCTTTTAGCAACATTTTTAGTTTTCAGTGTGCAAGTCTTTTTTTCTCTTTGGTTAAATTTATTTCTAAGCAGTTTATTCTTTTTGATGCTAGTGTAAATGAAATTGTTTTCTTAATTTCCTTTTCATATTGCTAAGTGTTAGTGTGTCGAAATGCAACTACTTTTTGTGTTGTTTTTGTACCCTGCAGCTTTGCTGAATTCATTTATTAGCTCGAACTTTTTGTTTTTGCATGAAATCTTTAGAGTCTTCTATATGTAAGATTATGTCATTGTAAACAGAACTTTAGTTCTTCTTTTCCAATTTGGCTATCTTTGTGTTGCCTCATTGCTCTGGCTAGGACTTTCAGGTCTATGTTGAGTAGAAATGTGAGAGTGAGTATCCTTGTCTTATTCTTGATCTTAGAGGAAAAAGTTTGGTTTTTGTCATTGAATATAATGTCACCTGTGGCTTTTCACACAGGGCCTTTGCTGTGTTGAGGTAGTCTCCTACTCCTAATTCATTGAGTGTTTTGTTTTGTTTTTATCACAAACGGCCAGTCTGGTTGCCTCTCATCTTTTTCTTGCCTCATTGCTTTGGCTGGAACTTCCAGTGCAATGTTCAATAGCAGTGGGGAAAGCAGGCATGTTTGTCTTATTCTTGGTCTTAAGGAGAAAGCTTTCAACACTTGCAGTATCACATCATGGAGTACAATGCTAGTTGTCCATTTTTTTATTAATAGCCTTTAATAATGTTAAGGAGGTTCCTTTCCTTCCCAGTGTGCTGAATGTTTTTATCACCCAGACTCTGGGAGCATCCATGTGTGGTGAGGGTAAGCAGATCCTCTGGGACCTGGAGCCTAGGCCCCCTCACATTTTCCACCCAGCCCTAACACAGTGGTGATTACGTGGACCTAGGAGTGGTCACCGACTGAGCCCTCAGGAGTTATAGTGAGAGGCCAGAAATGCCACATCCCTGCCTGCCCAGCTAAACCCTGGAGTCGAGCTAGGACTACCTTCTTTTCTTTCTTATATCCATGTTTATTCCCATGCTGTTCTGCTTTTCAAAGCCTCCTCATCCTTAAAAACTTCTCTTTAGCAAGTCTTCCTTGCCTAAGATGAAGCCCCCTTCCTCGAGGGAGCAGAGCCTCCAGAGGTTGTGAGCATGCTGCTTTCTAATCCAGGAGTCTGCCATTTCTAGATGGTCACCAAAATAGCTATAGATGGGCAGAGCCCATTCTTACTTTCAAAGGATAATCTAACAGAAATGCACGTGTGTGCATGTGTGACACAGTGACAAAATTTCATTCAGGTGCAAGTGACTGATATAAGTCAGCCTTTTGGAAAGTTTCTTCAAACAAGGGAGAAAGAATATCAGGCTAAACTTTCCTGAGTCTCAGAAGCCAAAGGACTAAGTGAGAATGGAAAATCTGAGAACACAGAAAGCTCTGATCTGCCCTGGCTGGCATAGCTCAATGGATTGAGCGCGGGCCTGCAAACCACATGATCGCGGTTCGATTCCCATGTCAGAGCACATGCCTGGATTGCAGGCTAGTTCCCAGCAGGGGACTCACGAGAGGCAACCACACATTGATGTTTCTTTCCTTCTCTGGTTCCCTTCCTCTCTAAAAATAAAATAAAATGGTTAAAAAAGAAAGAAAGCTCTGACCCTTTTTGGAGCACCTTCTGCAGATCTAACTTCCCATTGACAGTTTGAGAACACACACTTGTATTTTTATGACCTAATTTGCTCCAAAAATAACTACAGTAGGTATGTCTCATAGCTCCAGGTGAGAAAGCCCAGAAGAGGGAGATGGGGAGAAGAAAGGATTTTTTTTCCATAATCCCCTGATTTTATGAAGAAAGCGAAACCTTTTAAGCGAAACCACTTTCAGAAAAATTTTTTTCATCTTGCCAACGTTCACAGGAGGAGGAGGACGAGGGGTTGTAGTGGAGACAGCAGACTCAATAAGCTCTTCTCCTTAACGGGAGCCCACGTGGCAGCCATTACCAACTTGAGGAAGGAGAATCTGCACCCTTAACCTCCCCTTGAATGTCAGTAATCAAGAAAGCTTTTCTTGTCCTGGCTTCTTTTCCAGGGCGTCCTGGAGACAAGTGCGCATCCCTTTCGCGGGTACATGGGGGCGGCGCGAACCTCTCCAGGAGGTGATGGTAGCATCAGCAACGACAGTGCCCAACGTAGAGCCCTGTCTCTTCGCGCCAGACGCTTGTATCCTCTTTCAAACCTATCAAGCCTTCAAGGTTACCCTCCCGTGAAGAATGAGGAGGAACCAAGGCTCAACCAAAGCCTTAAGTGGCCAGCGTGCCTCCCTGGTGGCCGGCAGGGTGCAGCCCTTTCCCGACGGACCCAGCCCTGGAACCATTCCCGGTGGCTTCCGGCCTGGGATTTCAGCGCCGCGTTCACTCCTGAAACGGTACTCAGGAGCGTAGACGGCGCTCTCCAGGGAGGAATCGCGGTCCACCTGGCGCGGGCCGAGAGCGGCCTCCGCCAGCTCTCGGCGGAACTTTCCTGTCGACGGGGTGTGTTCCCGTCCGGGCGGCCTGGCGCGCGGGCCGGGAGGGGGACGCTTTTTGGCGCGGACCGCAAGCGGAGGCTGCGAGCGCCGCCGCCTGAGAAGACCCGAGCTCGGTCCCAGACAGTCCGCGGCGCCCGGGCCTGGCCGGCTGCTTCCCGCCCGGGCCGCCGCCTCCGCCTGCGCCCCCGCCGCCGCAGACGCCGCCGAGGCGGGCGCAGCGGAACGCGAGGTCGCTGGGCCCTGCCTGGCCCTGCGCGGCCCAGAGCCGCGGCGCGGAGGTGAGTGCCGGTGCCTGTCCCCGGCTCCCTTCCCGGATCGTCGGGACCCGCAACAATGGGGGCCCCGTGGGGACGCGGCCCCGGCCCCTGGCGCTCTGCGGCCTGGTACAGCGAGACGGTCCCTGCGGCCCGGGCCTTAGGGCGCCAGATCCGACCAAGGAAACTCCAGGGACCGGAGGCTTGGAGGGGATATTAGCTTCGACCCGGGGCCTCGGCGGTTTGATATTCAGGATTTTTGTAGCCTGGGAAGGGAGTCGCAGGGGCATGGAGACTTGACTCTAGTGGCGTCCGCACACAGCGCTAGGTGCAGACGCCCTGGAGGCCGACCATTATGGGGTGAACGTGGAGGTCTTGCGTTCGGAATTCCGGGGGCCTCCGTGCGTCTGGTCCCCAGGCGCCTCTCCCCGCGAGGTCCGTGAACTTGGCAGACTGGGGTCTGGCTGGGGAGACGAGGCCCTGAGAGTTTAGCTTCTCCGAGGTAACCGGTGATTCGTTCCTGGAAAGGCTGAGGCTCAGCGGGGCGCAGGGGAGTTGAGCCTAGAGCTGGATTCCCCAGGGCCCAGACGCATCCTGTCCTTGGATGGTTCTCAGGCAGGGAACTTGCCACTAGAGTGTCCCTGTGAGTGGCGTTAGGACAAGGCTGGAGTGTAGAGGAGGGTCGGTAGGCGGGTGAGGTTGGAGAATCTGCTCTACGTGGGCCATGGTGGTGGCAGCCTGGGAGAGAACACGGGGACTATGCAAAGTGGGCTGCCTGGTGGAGAATGACCTCTGAGTGCGAGGGCGTGGGTGACTCAGACCCGTTAGAATCCCACTGCTTGCTCGTGGATGCGGCTGACTCTGTTGGGTGATGGGGCTGGGAGGGTGTCTGGGGTTTAATGAGTTTGTTTCCCAGTAGAAGACAGTGTGGGCCAGTCCTCCTTACTCCAGGTGAGAATGGGAGCTGTCATTGGCAGTATTTTAAGTAAAGAATTTCTTTGTGGGATGTGGATTCAGAGCTTTTCTCTGTTCATTTTTTTCCTCCTTTGGTTTTGAATTGTGACTCATACTTTCTTTACAGCACTGTGATTTTGTAATAATAGACAAACAGACACCACAATTTATGTAAATTCTAGGGGGGTTCCAATTTTTTTTATAAATCTGAATTAATTTAAGGGCCTGTTTTTACTTATTTCAGTGTCGTCGTTTAACGTGTGCAACTCTAGAGAGGGGTGTGAAAACTAACAGTTTATGGTGTTATAACTTCTTTAAGAGTCAAATATGTGGTGAAGGAAGGAAACTTGACTGGGTGATGAACACGATGAAATATACAGGTGATTTATTATAGTGTTGTACGCTTGAAACCTACATGGTCTTATTAACTAATGTCATCCAATTAATTTAATTTAAAAATTTTAATATTCTTTATATCTCTAAATTCATGAAACGTTACTTTTTCTGATAACCATGAAGCCATTGTATTGAATCTGTTCAATCTTAATGACTCTCAGCTCTCACAGGACATCATCTTCACTAGAAGTGTTACCTGTCTCTGATGACTTTAGTCGGTAAACCGTGTCTCTCCTGTGTCACCGAGTGTGCAAACTCCAATTCGAGGCTCGCAGCCATGCACCAGAGCTCTGCATGCAGTGCTGGGGCAAAAGCTGGCGCCTTGTCTGTGGATGCGCTCTCCAGCCCGATGTGGAATAAAGCAGGGTCAGAATCTTTGCACTGTATCTGTTTAGGATGTTAGGAGGTGCTGTCTAGTTGGAGTTAGGATACATTTTCAGGTGAGATGTGAGGGAATTTTGACAATTTGTAGTTCTCTGGATAGTTCTGGGGATTGTTTTTCCCCTTAATCTTTAAAAAATTATGTATTTTCCTTAAGTTGTATTCTTTGTCTCTCTTAAGTTTTCTGTCTTATGTAATTCATTCTTTCATAAACCAGAATCTGTTGAATTGTGTCAGACACCGTGTCGGGCACCTCCACTACGGTGACATTTTAGTAGCTGTTCTTAGCTCAGAAGTGCTGTGGATCCGTGAGGGAAGGAGTGATTCAGGCATATCAGTATCAAGCTTCTGATCAGTAAGGCCGTTGAGTAAGGTCTTTATAAAGCATTGACTTTGATGAGTGACGACTGATTATCTTCATATATTGCCATAGAGCTCAGTTTAGCTCTAATTTTTCTCATTGGTACAGGATTGTTTTTGCATTATTTTATTTAAACACACCTGTTATTGAAGTGCCCCTGCAGACAGACCACAAGGTAAACATTTTGTTCCCGAGTGTGTCTGAATGAGCAGTGACTCAGATGTTGTACGTGTGGTTAGGTTCCTCAGGGGCCGTCACACTTTCCTTCCCACTGTGGTTTTGGGAGCGTGGAGGTGTCCTTACCCCCTTTGTCCGGATCACTGTCTGTAGCTGGGAGCATATGGTGTCCCCTAGAACAGGAAGAATAAGGTTGAGGTAAGACACAGTCTGTTTGAAATTGCCTCTTGATTTTTACTGCATAAAATATAATGTAAGTTACATTTGCTTATTATTATTTATTTTAATGTAAATTATATTTGAATATTTTTGCTTTAATTGTTAATGTCCATTCTGATCTAGTAAAATGAAATTTTGTCCATTGCTCTCTTTTCTATCTCTCTGTGTATTTATTTGGCCAGAAATAAATGAAGAAATTTTTTAAAAGATTTTATCTATTATATTTTTAGACAGAGGGAGAAAAGGGAGGGAGAAAGAGGGAGGGAAACATCCATGTGTGGTTGCCTCTCACCTGCCCCCCACCAGGGGACCTGGCCTGCAGCCCAGGCATGTACCCTGACTGGGAATCAAACTGGTGACCCTTTGTTTTGCAAGCCAGCGCTCAATCCACTGAGCCGCAGCAGACAGGGCTGAATGGAGGGATTTGAAATCAAGGCAATTAGATAATAAATACATTTTTGAAATATCTCTAAGAAAATAGAAACTGGCTTATTTATTGCTTTGAAGGCAAAGTGATTGCTGAAAGAAGTGATTTTGACTACCTCTTAGTCAAATGGATGAACTTCAGAAACTCTTGGAAAGAATGTGTGGGAGCTTTTTATTTCATTAGAAAACTTTGGAGGTGCTTAGTACAATGGGAAGGGCATGGACTTTGGAGCCACTCATCCCCTAACTCTTGCTTGCTCTTTGACCTGGGTAAGTCTGTAACCTCTCTGAGCCTTGCTTTTTGTTTCATTCATTTTTTTCATCTGTAAAATGGAGCCAGTAGAACCTCTGCAGGTCGTATTGAGGACTGGAGACGAGGGCTGAGGTGTGGGTGTGGTCAGGGCTTGCGGTCAGTAAGAGTCAGTGGAGTTCGTGGTATTGGGGGTCACTGTCCTCAGTAGTACTAGTAGTAGGAGTGTAGCTGAGTGCTGTGCATGGGTGAGGGGCACAGTTCGCTGGTCTGGTGAGGCACCCTGGACAGCCGAGAGGATTGTCAAGGTACTTCAGTGGGCAGGAGTCAACACGGTAAAGTCCAAGGTTATTCCTGGCACTGGTAGGTTTTTTTTCCAGAAGTTTCTATGGAGAAACCAGGACACAACCGTTTGGCATGTCCATGTTAGTGGACATTCCCACTGACAGAGTGCTAGAGTGTGCCAAGAAGCATTGTGTTCTGTGTGGCCCCTATTCTGGATTTTTCTCTGGCGTTCTTCTCTTGCAGTGATTTTTCAACCAGTGTACTACAAGAATTTTTAAAACATGAAATAGTCAGGGGTACTGACCTCTTTTCTCTTAGGTGGTCGAATAAAAGAATAACAACAGCCAACACAATAGCCATCTAGTGTGAATGAATCAAAATTATACCTATATATATATTTTTGTCACATCAGCAAAAGATCTATTTTTTGGCATGTCACAGAATTTTAGTAATTACTTTATGTGTGCCATGAGAAAAGGTTGAAAGTCACTACTCTATTGCCATCAGAGGCCTGACTTTGGTCTTTTTGCCTGGAAGGTGCCAGATGTTGAGAAGTCACCAGATGTCCTCTTTCTCTAATTTGAGTGACTTTGATAGAATCTAGCACTTTGTTTAGAAAAGTTTTTGATGAACAGAAGGTTCACGGGTTTTATTTTTTTCCCTGTGAGAGGAAAAAAGTAGGAGCCAGACGGAAGTGATTCAAAGTATCTGTCTCCAACTCTGTCCTCATCTTCCTTAGTCAAGCGCCGCCTCCACACTAGGTGGTCTTTAACTCCAGTTAAAGGTAAATGATACTCCTCTGACTTCAAAATACCATAAACATCTGGACCCTGGTGTGTCTCTAAGTTAACACCTCGAGGGACCTTTAAGACCAGGCCTCTTAGACATCTTCTTTTCAGTCCCTCCTTTGCCACTTAAGACCCGTAGTGAACCTAGAAGGGTCCCGCCTGCTCAGGCTCTCCTCCCTGCTAATTCTCCCCGTTCTGTTGCTTATCTGACTCTTCGGCTGGAAGTGACCGGAATTCAGCCCTTTTTAAAAGTGCTGAATACCCCCCCAATACCACTTTTAAAAGCCTTCCTTGGTTCTTTCCAAATTAAGCAGAATGCTTCTCCTTTGTGTGGCCTTTGCAGACTGTGCCAGCTTTTTTCATAGTTACACCATACTCTTAACTTTTGGTATGTTTGTGTTTTCCATGCTTATATTGTGACCCACTTGAGGGCAGGACCTTGTCCTACTTATTTTTCTGTCCCGTACCTCACCACTTCCGACACAGAGTAGCACTCCCTAAACACTTGTCAAGTGAACAAATGGATGAGCTCTGCATATGAATGACAGCAGTTGCTCCTGTGGACTTGGTGTTACGGTCAGAGTTCTACCAGAGTTCTACTGTCCTGTCTGCATCTGATTTTGTATTTCCAAAGACAGCGTTCCTCTACCTTTGTTTATAGATCGCTAAAAGCAATACTTAATTTTGCTGTGAAAATCTGTCGCTCATTCCATATGTTCATGGTTTGAGGCTGGGGGATATTACCTGTTCTCTTTGGGTCTTGCAGAAGTTACTCTTGAAAGAGAAT